GCTGCAATCAAGCTCCCGAGGTACTTAAAGTTCTCAACTACTTCTAGCTGATCACCACAGAGGGTAAGTGCAGACATAGGCTCCTGCCAGTCTTTAACCAGCACTTTGCACTTGGAAGGTGTAAATCACAGATCACACCTGGATACCTCGATTGCCAAGCGGTCCAAAGCCTCTTGGACTGTCTGTGTTGTTACCTAACAAGGCGAAATCATCGGCATATTCCGAGTCAAGAACTCTATTCCCAGGGAGGAGTTCAACCCCACCGTTTGCTAGACCGGACAAAGCATTCCGTAGAACATCCTCTATGACAAAGTTGAAAAGGAATGCGGATACAAGGCAGCCTTGTCGATCTCCACTGGAGACGGCGAAGGGTGGAGAGCTGGCCAGCCAAAGACAATCTGAATCTTTGGGGCTCCACCTGGAAAGCCGGGAAACCCCAACGGAAGCCAGATCCGAGCACAATCTCTTTAAACCTCTGCACCACGTCATAGCCTGCCCACCTCACTGTTTCTTACAGCCTGGACCAACGTCTGCGAATGGTGCACGGTGTGGCAGACGGTGCTCAGGCATTCGTAGGACGTGCCCTAGCCACCTAAGACGATGCTGTGAAATTATTTTGCCCAGAGGAAAACTATCTGGTTCCAGCACCCGTCGTCTGACTTCATCCTTAATCACGCGATGCTCCCACCATACGCGGGCGATGTTGCGCAGACAGCGGTTGTTGAAGACTGATAGCTGGTGGACGTGATCTGCTCGGAGAGGCCAGGTCTCCAGCCATAGAGCAACACGGCGCGTACCGTTGCGCAATACACACACCCTTTCAATGAAAAAGATATGTCGCGCCGGCGCCAGAAATGCCGCAGATTAACAAACGCTAATCTAGCTTTGATCACGGGTTGAGAGGTCTCCTCGCCCACAACTCCGTCAGTAAGTTTACCCGAGGTCTGGTGATAGAGCGCTTATAGAAGTGACATACTTCTCGGGTACTTCGTACCTCCACAAACAGTTCCACAGTGCGGATCGATAGAGTCGAAAGCCGCTCTGATGTCCAAAACTGTTTGTGATATGTTGGTAACCTGGAAACCGTATAGTAGTACGCGTATAAGCCAACTAATCAGTTTCAGTTTCAGTTTGAACAACCATTAACCACGCATATTCGTGCGCCGGTTTTGGTCGCTGTCTTTAGGATGCCCATTTGAATGAAGAATTGGAGAATAAAGGAAACTTGAAAGTGGAGTCGAAAAGAAAATGGAGAAGTTCAGTGGTCTGAGGTTGCAGAGATTGAGCAGATGCACGAACGCCACTGGTTGCGTAACACAGCCATATCGCTCAGTGTCTCTAACCATCGGTTACGATTATCCCGAGGTCCCCAACCAGGGAGCCAACTAATCAGTGCAAATGGGGTGCGTCAAGAGCAAGGCAAATCGACCTTTTATATCTTGTCCCTGGAAGTGTATTCCGGGCAGTGACTAAGTAACAATCGCTGGCAAAAGACCAGTGATGTACGCTTTACTACATCTCACCGTATAACAATAAATGATAAAAATAACAATACAATCTTATAGACTTCCAGTCATAAAAAGTTAGACTCACCGGACTGAGGAGAGTTGATATTTGTTACGGATGCATTTCGTGTCTCAAAAGCTACCCAAATAGTTCATGAAATAACATGTTACCTTTCAAAAGCATGGATTTCGCCGATTTATGTTTCTCCATTTTTACTTTGGGGGTACTACTTTTATTCTCATTATTATCCGTAATGCACAATTCTTGAAATAAAACCGAAGTATTTATTACAAACCGGCCAGTCTCTTTACATCAAATTCATTTGGTTCGTTCAAACTGTTTTCATGGTATGCTAGCATCCGTGCAAAGAAATCCAATTTTATTGCTGTAAAAGAAGGAAGAAGAGAGATTGTTCACACCAAAAAAACCGTAAGAAGAAACAAATCCAAAAAAAAAATTTTTGTTCTGTTGGTTCACTGCAGTGATTTGTTTTCCACGTCCTCTCCTATACCCCGATCCCGCTCTTTATATTACTGCATTGGCGTCATGCTCGGTCACTAGCCGGTGACATATAACGTTTCTCATCTCTTCTTCAAATTCATTCGGGAAAATCATTGTTTCAAGGAACAGTCTTTGACTATTCCCTGATGCAGCTGCTACTTCTATTTCACTAGCTATTGTTGCCCACCAGTTCTCACGGTCCTTCTTGAGACTCTTCGTGAGCGGCTGTTGTATCTGCCGCCTAACTNTCGAGACTAGCCGTTTTACGCTCCATCAGGACTACTGACTCCTGAGATATCCAATGCCTCCGACGGGTTTGAGGCTCAGACCCACAAGCAACATTCGCTGCGGAATGCATTGCTCACTTAATCTGATCCCACTGCTCGTCTACATCACCACGCTGAAGCGCACTTAGCTTACGCACTAGTTCTGACTCATAGCGTGCACGAACAGCTGGAGCAGATAGTCGTTGATGAGCTATCCGAGTTTGCTGGTTTTGGTCGCCGACTAGTCAGTCGGAGAGTGAACTGCATCAGAACTAGTGCGTGGTCAGACTCAACGCAGGTGGTCCACTAAGACCTGCAATTTTGCACTGAGCCGCGCTAACGGTAACTTACTGCGATGTGGTCGATTTGAGTTAGCGTCCCAGTTGAACTGGATTGCCACGTTGTCTTCCGTCGAGCGCTGTGCCGGAAGTTGGTGCTTGATAGGAACAGATGATGGTCGGCGCAGAACTGAATTTCATCCTAGACTGCAGACTGTCTGATCGTGAGTATGCAGCTTTGGCTGCGGTTGGTGTAACCTGTCTTTCAGGCTCAGGCCCAAGAGATAAGGATTGTTGTTAGTTAGAGACGCTGAGAGGTATGGCCCAGAACAGAAGTCAGTAGCGCAAATGCTGTACGATTTGCCTGTTAAAACTTCGTGCTCCATGAAATAAATTAAAACACAAAAATACCAAAAAGTGTACGGGGAAACAAACAAAAAATTGTTTTTCTCATCAATAAACTTAACTGTCTGACCCCCTTTTAATCTGCTATTTATCCCAACCCTACATGCCCAGTTATTTTTGTTGCGTCTGCACTAAGCTTGTTCGCAAGCCGATGACAACATTGTTCAATCAAGTGAAGATCCAAGTAAGCTGCAAGCAGATCTGGATAGTTTAAGTGCTAGTCTATCCATCTTCGGTATGCATATTGCACCTTCAAAGAGCAAGTTTGCTACAAGATTAGGTTGGTCCATTATGGAAGTAATGGAGCAAGTGGATAAGTTTCATCTGGGCAGCTATATCCCGATGCACCGTAGATAGCGCCACCATACATACAGAGGGCTCGAATAGCATTTGCCAACTTAAGGTATCTGTGACGTCGTCGAGACATCCGGCTGTCTGTGAAGGGTTGCGTGTATGCGTCAGCAGTTGAACCAGCTCTGCAGTGGCAGAAACTTGGTCACTACGAAAATAGAATGAAGATAAACTGTCAGTTTTTGAACACCGCTGTGTACACAGTATCGCATGAATCTGGTGGGGTAACCGGACAAGCAATGCTGAGGTTAGGCGGAGAACTTTAGGTAACCGCGGTCGCCTACTGGAACAAGTGGTCGACTTTCATAGACTACGTTGGTTGGAGGATGTGTTACGTATATCAACAGTGAGATTTCTACGACGCGCGGTGTTTGCCGAGGTAGGCAGTGGGTGGAAACGTCAAGGCTAGCATGAGGACATGAAAAACCTGACCAGCAGACTTGAACATATAAGTCGTGTTAGGTTCTCTGGATGGGGACCTTGGGATTATTTTTGTTATTACTATTATTATTTATCAAGAGCTTGCGGGTAAACATGGTGCCAACACTACAAAAACATTTCCATCACAACGAGACAGCACCTTGACCTGGTGTGATGGCTTGTGTGCCTCAATGACCCTGCGAGCTATACAGCCTTAGATCTAATCATGCCTGAAAGATCAACGGGTAGAAGCCAGGCGAAGCTCAGTCTCACAAAGCCAGATGCTTGGGCAACTCCTGGCTTCCGTTGTCTATCCACACCCACCCCTGGAGAGGCCACTCCAGCAAATAAACACAGTGAGGGGCAGTTTACCGGTCGAAAAACCCCCGCTAGATGGA